CGGCGTGCTGCTGGTCGCTATCCTCGCCGTGGCCTCCACCTGCCGGAGAAACAAGATGCACTTCCAACGTAAGCTGCTGCAGGGCTCAGGCCCCCACTCAGGGAACTCCTCCCCGGGCCAGGCAGAGCTCTGCCCGCTCTCAGTTACCACCCCGTCTGACCGCCCCAGTGACACTTTCCAGGCTGAGGACTGTAGCAGAGAGTCCTTGTGTCATCATGTCCAAGAAGGGAAAGTCAAGGGCAGCGACTCCCAGGTAAGCACCCCTGATTTCTTTTCAGCCACTTGGCAACGCATTCATCTTTTAAATGTTCAGAAATCTTCAGTAAGTGCTTGCCATGACAGATGTCACCTTGACAATTCAGTTTGATTCATAGCAGGACATTTTTATCTTAGGAGAACTAGATCTGTGTTATTAAAGATATAGTGGACACTGGATTTAGCATCTGAAGAGCTGCATCTGTTTTCTGGTTCTGCCACTGAGTTACTGCCTATATTTTACCTCTCTATATCTCAGTTTCTCTATCTGTAGAATAGGAATAAGGTTATGCATCCCCTTTGAAAAGTGTTTTGAGATCTACAGATGAAAAGTGTTTTGAGATCACAGCTAAGTATTATTATAGAGATGGCATGTGTTTTAGTTGATATGTTTTGACTATGATTTATTGCTATTTGTTGCAATTATTATTTTTATTGCCTCATGTGTTAGCATCCCATTTTATATCAATTTAAGTCGTTGCAATTATTATTTTTATTGTCTCGTGTTAGCATCCCATTTTATATCAATTTAAGTAAGCTTTTTCTTTGAATTATTGTTGGGCTACTTTTGTATTGAGGGATGCAAAAGTACTAACGTGGCTATTTCTTCCTTTTGCCAGGGTCACGATCTTGTTCCTTTTCACCCGCCATCTCCTTGGCAAGAGCATGAGTCTGCTTCAAGTTTAAGGTAAATTTGTTTGACATTTATAGAATTTCACATTCAGGCAGAGTACACTAATTGGTTCTTTTTGCTTTCAGCTCCCATTCAACTCCTGATCAGTTTAGTGTGCAAGACAGTGGGAAAGGAGATAGCGAGTTTAATGATAGTGCTTCTGATATCAGTGGGGAGGGGTTAAAGAAACCACCTTCACAGGTAGCTGAAAAGCAAGTTGGTAAGTATAATTTAGCTTTAATCTCTTTATGGCAATATGTATAAAAACACAGTTAAACTATAATGGCATCCCTTTAACTATACCTAGTATTAACAAAGACTGTAACATTAGATTGTAAGCTTTTTGGGGCAGAGATCATAGACTTGAATCGCTGGGCCATTCATAGAATCATAGAGCTGGAAGAGACCTCAGGAGGTCATCAAGTCCAGCCCCCTGCCCAAGGCAGGACCAATCCCAACTAGATCAACCCAGCCAGGGCTTTGTCAAGCCGAGACTAAAAAACCTCTAGGAATGGAGATTCCACCACCTCCCTAGGTCACCCATTCCAGTGCTTCACCACCCTCCTAGTGAAATAGTTTTTCCTAATATCCAATCTAGACCTCTCCCATTGTAACTTGAAACCATTGCTCTTTGTTCTTCCATCCATCACTACTGTGAACAGCCTTTCTCCATCCTCTTTGGAACTTCTCTCGAGGAAGTTGAAGGCTGCTATCAAATTCCCCCTCACTCTTCTCTTCTGCAGACTAAACAAACCCAAATCCCTCATCTCTCCTCATAGGTCATGCGCTCCAGCCGCCTAATCATTTTGGTCGCCCTCTGCTGGACCATCTCCAATGCGTCCACATCCTTTTTGTAGTGGGGGGCCCAGAACTGGACACAATACTCCAGATGTGGCCTCACCAGAGCCAAATGATCACTTCCGTAATCAATGGAGTTGCTCAGGGATGAAACTGTAATGATTCAGTAGAGATTTGGGTCTTCTAGCCTAAATTTACCAAAATGTGACCAACTTTAGGATCTTCAATGTTTAGGTAACTTGGCACACATTAAAGGAGCCCATTTGCAGAAAGTGCTGTTTCCCTACTTTATGGTGTCTCAAGCTGAGCATCCCAAAATAGGTACTCAAAGTCATTTGTCGCTTTTGGAATGTTAGACCCCTGTCTTTCTGTAAAGTGCCTACCAAATGTTTGGGCTTTTAACAAGTAAAATGTTTTCAGATAAATTACTCGTTGAATCCTTTATATATCACACTGGCTTAGCTATTAATAAAGCCTGATCTTAGAAAACTTGTTCTCAGATTGGGTTCAGTTACTCATATGTGTAAGTGTTTCTTTGAAGGAGCCAAGTCTAATTTTAGGACTTGCTGTTGCTCCCATTGAAATCATTGGGAATCTGCTCCTTAAAATAATCACAGAAGTGTGGATATGATTTTCTCAATATATAATTTTTTTGGTAGAAATAAACAGGTTTAATTTCATAATGCTGGTGAAAGTAATTTATTCAACCCACTCTTATGGAAATTTGATATTTCTCTTCTGATATTGTATTCCAGGAAAAAAGTGTGATTGTTAAAATATTACTTCTCTTTCAGGTACTGCAGCCTGTATGGCTGGAAGGACTTATAAGGACACAGAAAGATACTGTAGCTTGTATGCCCACCAGTCCCAAAGAAGTAAAACCATCCCATTGCACTGTGAAAGTGATTATGTGATTGCATATTCTACAACTCCAATTTATCAGCCCATGGTTCAGCTTGAAAAGTCTCATTTTCTTCCACAGAAGTTAATATTCCTAAAACTGAAAGACTACAAAGTGTGTATGAAAGAGTTCTAAATGGTGGGTCAGAAGTGTCACCAACCAGTCTATCAAGACAGTATAAAGGACTAAATCACCCTCCGCCGAATACTTTCTTCCCAAATGCCTCTGAAATAGCAACATCATTTTGACATAGTTTAGGATTTCTTTACATTGCTGTCATTGGGGATATACTCAATGTGTTTGTGTTTATGTGTAAATGTTACCAGCCGAAATTCGTAAATGAAATCCCACTCAAAAATCAAATATCACTTTAAATTATGGCAAAAGCAATCAATGTCTAGACAAATCATTCTTCTAAATTTGTCCTTTTTATTAACCAAAGAGTCAAACAGATGTCTAGACAAATCATCCTTCTAAATTTGTCCTTTTTATTTACCAAAGAGTCCAACAAAAAAAATAAAGAATAAAAAATTAAAGGACGTAGTGACTGTTGCTAAAAAGGGGGTGAGGTAAAGCAAAGATTTATGTTTTATATTGAAACAATTCATGTAAATAAACAGTGCAGATGTACATTTTAAAGGTAAATGTGTACCTGTGTCTGTTTTGTTTCTTATGAAATACTTATTTCCTGATTTATCAGATGATCCACCTGTTATATTTGTGTTAACTGTCAAATAGTAAACACAAATTTAGGTGCCAATCAAATAGTAAACACAAATTTAGGTGTAACTGGATACAAGGCAGACCCTTGTATATATGAAGCAGAATAGAAGCATTAGGTCTACACTACAGAGAATTACACAAGAATGGCCTGGATAGTTGACTTGGGCTTGGGGGCTCAAGCTAAGGAGCAGTTTAATTGCAGTGTAGATATTTGGGCTTGGGCTGGAGCCCAGGCTCTAAGACCCTGTGAAGGGGTAATGTCCGAGGGCTTGGGCTCCAGCTTGAGCCCAAAAGACTACAATGCAATTAAATAGCCCCTTAGGTCACATCCGCGAGTCTAATGAAACTGGCATGGGCCAGCTGTGTGTTTTTCACTTCTACCTGTAGGTGTCTAATTGTAGGGCAGACATACACAAGTTATGTCTACACTACGAGTTTTCTTGGCAAAAAATATGCTAATGAGGGACTCCTTTGCATGAGTTGCGATTTCATTTGCATATTTTCTGCTGATCCGTTTTTGTGCTAAGGTTTTTGTGCAAAAACAAGCAGTGTAGACATTTTCTTTTTGCCCAAAACCCCTTTTTCCGCAAGACCCCTATGCCCCAAAAAAGGAGGTATACCAATCTTGCGGAAAAAGGGGTTTTGGGCAAAAAGAAAATGTCTACACTGCTTGTTTTTGCACAAAAACCTTAGCACAAAAACGGATCAGCAGAAAATATGCAAATGAGGTCATGACTCATGCAAAGGAGTCCCTCGTTAGCATATTTTTTGCCGAGAAAACTCGTAGTGTAGACGTAGCCTTAGAGACTAGTGTGAGTAAAGGCTGTAGTAGTGGGAGCTTAATACCTGATCAGGAAGACTATGTTGAAGGATTGAATTGTTCATGAGCCTTTTGAACAATGCTACAGCTGTATCTCAGTGTACCTCTAAACTG